CTCTGGCCATCCCTCCTCAAGGGCAAGCTCTGCTTTGTCCTTGGACACCTGGCTGATCTGGTAGTGACAGGCCATCCACACGGGACAGAGTGCTCTCATCTCGGGCCCGAGGGACAGTGCCCACAGCCACACCTGTGCACTGCCTCTCCTCTCAGTCCCCTCCACTCTGAGGCACATCTGAATCTTGCCCCACTCCCAGGAGCCCCATCGGAGTGCTCATGCCCGGGAGGGGCTATTTCCAAAACCAGCAGAGGTTGGCAGCCTCTGCTGTGTCTGGCCTCTGGGTCCCTGCCGCCTTCCTGATTCCCTCTGTCCCCAGCCCTCCACCCCAGACTTAACTCTCTTTCTGGGCTGGTACCTCTAGCACCTGCTCCCGGACGCCTGCTCCTGGCTCTCCAGGCTTGTCTTGATGTATTAGCTGCAGCAGAATTTTGGGGCGGGCAGATATCACCATCTTGGAGGCCATCCAAGGGGCTGGTGGCTGAAACCCTGGGCGAAAACCCCAAGGACAGGTGGCACCATGCCGTGCTGTGAGGCCTCTGAAGCAGCTTACAGGTTCTTAAAGGGCCACGGCCAGACCACAAAAGCCTGACTTGGTGCCTGGCATGTAGCAGGCGTCTGTAACGTGCACCCACAAGGACAGCAGGCTCACATTCTCTGTGGCGGCTCTGGGGCCTCATCCGGACGCTGTGTCCTCGCCAGTAGATGGGGCAGCTGAAGATAAACACCCCATCCACTACACAAATGAAGCAGACCCTGCAGAAATTCCATCTCCAGCTTCCTGTGACATGGCCACACTGAGGTCATGACTGGGTGGACCTGGGGGACACTGAATCCTCGGAGGCTCACGTGGCCGCTTATCGCCATCTCCCTTATAATATATTAAGGAAGAGCAAGAGAGACGGGTGCCTGGCGATGCCAGCTGGGCACATTCACCTGGGCAGGGACAGAGTGGCACTGCCAGTACACAGGAAGAGACACACCTGCGTAGTGCCTGGGTCAGGTCTCAGAGGTCCCCCATTGCTGAGGGAGGGACCAATCAGAAACACATACCCCCCTGGGCAGAGATACACAGCTTGCTGTGCCCAGCTCTTCCCAGGACAGATGGCACGTGGATTTTGACATAACCATGAGGCACCTAAATGCTACAGGGATTGCTGAGTGCCCTTCATTTGACCCAGGAGGGCTGGGAGGGTGGGACAGTAGCCAAAGATCCTTATCCACATAAGCAAGAGAGGCCTGTGTCACAGCTAAGCCATAGCCACCTGGTGGACAGGGGCCAGGGCAGGCCACAGGCGTTGTCTGGAGTCAGACTCCTGGCTCTGCCACTTCCTGGCTGGGTGACCTCGGGCAGGTGACTTCACCTGTTTCCTCATCTCTAAAATGGGAGACCTAGTGATCCTTGTCCCATGGGGACGTCTACACACTCTTGTTGCGCGTCTATCCCACTGAACGTTCCCTTAACAGGAGTCAATGAGGTGATGCACATCAAGAGCACGTCTCGTTATTCTGTTAAAGACCCTGGTCTCTGGCTGGCTCAAGCTGGGGCTCACCATCCTCCGGGCTCCCCCGCTCAGTCCCAAGGGTAAGAGCACTCTGAGCGATGTCTGTCCAGACCCACCGCTTTTCTCTGTCCCTGTGGGAAGCTGGAGAGAATCTGTCCTGTTGCCATATAAGGCTGGGTCTGGCTGGCCCGGGGTCACCTGCCACGCCATCAGGGCGCGGGGAATGTCAGCTATGTGGGGGGAGTAGGAGGTGCGCACCCATCCTGCCCGCTCCAGTAGTGCAGAGAATGTGCACACACACACACACCACAGGGCACGGAGGTGGGGGTGGCACCCACAGGGGAGACCCAATCAAGCTCAGAGACTGAGAGAATAGGCTGGGTTCAAGTGTGGCTGTTTACACCCGGGTAACTGACTCAACCTCTCTGAGTCTCATTTTCTATAACATGGAAATAGACACTCACAGGGTTAGAGTGAGCACTCAATGAGATAATTCCCAAAGCACGCCTGGCACGCTGCCCGGCACATGCCAAGTGTTCAGAAAAAGATAGCCAAAACTAGAGTGAAACCAAAGACGTGTATTTCCATACAGCTATACCAGGACCTGTAGGTCCACCGAAGTCGCCTATTTTCACTCCTGAATCCCTTCTAATAACAACAGCTCAGACTAAGCTACGCTGGGGCCCTCTGGAAGCTGGCCCACCCCAGTGGGCGAGAAAGGCCAAAGGGAACTAGGATGTTAGCTCTAGAAGCCCCCCAGAGCTGCCAGCCAGGCTGGGCTTGGCCCCGGGCAGCAACCACAGAGGTACCCAATCACATGCAACAAACACAAAGCCCCATCCTTCATGGCTTCCGGCGTCCATAGGGCTCCTGGACAGCTGCTCGGTCCAGCCCCCCAGAAGCTCTGCTCTAGTGGGGCAGTGAAGCTGCACCCCAAAGAAATGCCAACCTGGGCTGCCAACACGATTCCCTCTAGAATCTGCCCACTCCAGGGAACTGCCACTGTGACCATGGCCATGGATGAAATTGACCCAGACCCTCCAACACAGCAGCTCCCTCAGAGTCTGCAAAGAGCTTCGTCTGCTCGTCTCCGTGGACCGTTGTAGGGACTCGGAGCGGACCACGAACCGCTGCTCCCATTTCAGGCAGGAGAAGACTGAGGCTCTGCCAGGTGAAGGGGTCTGACCCAGCCTGCAGGGCTCACAGCAAGTCTCAGACCTTGCCCCTGGATTTCCACAACCTGCACCTTTAAACCCCAAACAAAACAATAATAACAATCAGGACAGCAGCCAGCTCTCCGATGGGCTTTACACAGATTATCCAGCTAAAAAATCACAACAACCTGACTACTATTATCTCAAGTGGCTGGCCCAAGGTCATGGAGCCAGCAACACTCTGCCCCCCTCTTCCTCCTCCTCGTGACTCTAAACCATGGTGGGGCCACCTTGACCTGCTGCAGTGGGAAGCAGCTCAGGTTTCCGGCTTGATCCTGGAGCCTCTCCTCCAGGAGCCGAAAGCCTGGGCCCCAGCTGCCTGACAGCGGACTGGCGCACATGGTGGGTCTCAGAAGAGCAGGGAAGGGGAAATGCACGAGACCGCAAGCTCTGCCACTGGCTTCTGTGTGGCTTTGGCCAGCTGCTTGCCCTCTCTGGGTGCTGAGGTCCCCAGGTAGTTGGATACAGTCCCTCTGGCTCACCTTCTCCCGTCACAGTGCTGTCCAGTTCAGCCCCGAGGGCCTCAGGGTCTCCCCTGTCTGAGCCAAGGCAGTCCACCTCCCAAAACAACCCTACAGCCTCTCCCCAATCTGCCCCCTTCCAAGGGTGGGGTTGGCACAGACTCCCACACACTCAACTCCTCTGGTTTGCCCTACTACCTCACCTCTCCCCCATCCCCAGCTGTCTCTGGCTCAGAGTCCTGCTGGCTGTGGGTGGATTCAGCCAGCTTGGAACCCGCCCCGCCGAGTGGCCCAGGGGGCTGGATGAGGTCAGGGTTCCAGGCTCCTGTCCAGAGGGCCAACACAGCCAAGGCCGGCGGGCTGCAGAGCGAACTAGGAGGGAGCCCAGCAGCCTGGACCCCTGAGGTCCCAGCCAGCCAGCCAGACATCCAGGCTCCCTTTCAGTTGTGCTCAAGATGGCACCAAGAGTCAGGGGGAGGATGACAGTGAGGGGCCCTGGGGTCCCTAGAGTCCTCCACGGGATTCCTACAGCCAGTGGAATGAAATCAGACAGGCAGGCTGCCCACTTCTAGACAATCCAAGGAAATCAAGGAGGAATCAAGACTGCAAGCCCCCAGAGGAAGTACTCCCACCATGCCACCATGCCACAGTGCCTGGCCCCACCCCACAGCCTCCACCAGGACCCTGCTGAACCCTCACCAGTTTCCCATTTTGAGACTCTGAGCTGGGCTGGGACCCTAGGTATATGCCCAGAGGGAGCCAGCAGGGGCAATGCCCAGCCTCGTTTCAGTGGGCATGCCTCCACAGCCAGTTAGGGAACCCGGGAGACATCTTTCTCAGGAAATAATTCTAGTACCATCCACGGAGGTCTTCCCTTGTGCCGGGTGCCACCCAAGCACATTACGTGCCTTCCCTCACTGAGCCCTCAGGGGAACCCTGGCTCTGTGGTGAGAGGTCCTTGGTGAAGACCACAGAGCTGGTATGTGATGGAGACCAGGTCTGAGCCCACGTCATGCAGAAGCCCAAGGCCCCCGGCTATGCTGCCTTTGAGAGCTCTGGCCAGTTCAGGTAGGCCCCGACATGACACTTCTCCTTATCTTCTAGAATCTCCATGGACATTACACAAATGTTTATGGAGCTCCCACTGTGTGCCTGGCAACAGCCTGAAGGCTTTCTTTATAGAAATCCACCAGGACCAGCAAGAAAAGCATCAAGGCTCTTAGGGAGCCGTCCCTAAAAGTTGGAGTGAAGAGTCGTGAGGGTGGGGGTGGAGGCAGGCAGGAGGCCAATATTCTTTGATGGAGGGAGCACTGGACTGAGAGTCTGGAACCCAGGGTGCTAACAGCAGCCTCATGTGCACTTGTTGGGCCATTTCTGGGCAGCCGCCTTACCTCTCTGAGCCTCTCTTCCCACCGCAAGTTGTGAGGGCAGGGGTGCTCCTAGACACCGGGGGTCCCTTCCAGCACCAAATCCCTGTGGCTGGTCCCAGACGGGTTTCTGGGGAGCCCTGGGGAGGCTGGCATCAGAGCTCCTGGCCTGGCCCTACCTCCCCAGTCTAAGAGTAACAACTTGCAACCCGAGACGCCGGGACCAGAGCGGGGTGGAGGGGGTGGAGGGGGACCTACCTGGAGTCGGAGGCACAGAGGCAGGGGCGGAGGGAGGATATTGGGGGGAGCCCGGGGGAAGAAGAAGGGGGGGTTGATTCTGCGGCAGGAACGGCCCCGCAGACGGAGGTGGACCCCGCCGGGCGCTGGGAGCTTTGGGGGCGAGTGTCGCACACCTCTGGCGACTCGCAAGCGGCCCCAGCGGCGTGTGCTTACCCGGTTGATCTCCGCCAGCCTCCTCTCCTGCCGGGCTTTGAGCAAGCCGAAAGCTTTCCCTCCTGGAAGAGACAAAGAGGCGGCCCGGGAAGCCGGGGTCTTCCCGGGGCCGTGGGCTCCCAGGTCCGCGCCCGCTTCCCGCGCGTCGCAGATCCTGCGGCCCGGCCCGTGCGCACAGGTGGCCGGCGGGGGGCCCCGCGTGCAGGCTGGGGGTCGCGGGACCGCGGGCTGGCGGCGGGGCAGACGGAAGCATTGGCGCTTACCTTGAAACCTGTTGCTGAGCGCGACCGACATGGCGAGCGCCCGGATCCCGCCGGCTCGGGGCTTCACGGCGGCGGCGAGGAACGCGGAGGACGGACCGGCACCCGTCCGAGCTCCGGCGGCGTGTGGCGGCCGAACCGAGGGGCGGAGGAAAGGCGCGGGCAGCCGGACACACCCTCCCGCCCCTCCGGCCCGCCTCCCCTCCCCGCCCCTGTGCCCGGCCGCCGGCATCAAAGCGGCTATTATGCGGGACGCGCAGCCCGCCGCCGGCCCCTCTGCTGGAGGACGCGGAGAATGCACAGCGCGGGGCGCCTGTGGGCACCTCCCTCGCCGCTCCTGCCGGAGCCGCGGCAAGTCCCTTTCCCGCTCCCGGGCTGCGGTTCCCCCGTAAATAAAACTGGGACGATCTTAGGACGCACTCTTGGCGTGGCCGTAAGGAGCAAGTGAGGGTGAGAGCGGCAGGGAGTAAGGGCACCACCCCCCGAGGCCGTTATTACACTATTGAGCGTTGCAAACGCGCGCACTTTTAGGAGGGGAGGCGTGCGTTCCCAGCCTTCACTTTTAACTCTTGAAAGAAGAATACAGAAAACGTTTCGATTTTGTTGAGAAAATGCATAATGACAAAGTGGCAGTGCGACATCAGGGACACCCAATTGGAACGAGTTGGTTTTGTTAATAAAACCTATTTCTCGAGCACTCACTGTGCACCAGGCACTGTGCCAAATCAGTAGGGGATACATTTTTTAAGTCATTTAATTCTCAAAACTCTGAAACAGGACTCGGCATTCCCATTTACAGAAGAGCCAAGTCAGGAAGTGGAAGCCTGGAGGACAAGTCAACCCAGATGACACACCAAGTCTCTAACTCCACCAAGAGTGGCGCTCAGGGTGCAGGAACCCGGGGCTTGCAACTTGGTGACCGTAAAGCCTCCTGTTCAAATCAGGGCATTTCTGAGAGTGAAAGGTAGCACCCTTAATAATTATGCTGGGGTCACAGGCACAGATGGGGCCTATCCTGGGCAAATGACACACTTGGTCACTAGTAATGCTGCCATCCCCCACCCCCAAGCCACACACACACACACACACACACACACACACACACACACACACACCATGTCCCTGGGGATTGGATCCAGGAATTCTTCTTCCCCATTCACCCCTGGGGTTTGGATTTGGCCAAGCTGTGTGACCTTGGGCAAGGCACTTGACCTGTCTGAGCCTCCATCTCCTGATCTGCAGAATGGTGGAAACAAGCACCTCTCACCAAGCAGGGGCTGTTATAACGCCTATTACTTTCAAGAGGTTTAAGTGGGTAGTAAAAGCTTAGAGGGGAGGGCTTAGTAGTTACAATCCTTGGTTGATGGGGGATGGTGCACTTGGAGGCCAGAGATGAGAGCTGACTTAGAGTGGGGCCCTTGTATGTAACACCCTACCCGATTCAGGCTCAGGTGGCCTGCTGCCCTGGCCAGTTGGGCTGGCTGGCCCCACTCAGCCATTCTACAGGGCAAGGGCCACCCCACCCTCCACTGATCAGCTGCTGGGCTGCATTGCTAGCCAGATGTGCAACAGCTGCCACATTCCACCCAGCGCAGCCCCACCTCTGGGGACAGCAGGCATGAGTCACAAGATATCAGGCCTGAAGTACGTCACTGGAATGGAGAAGAGGCCTGTTCTCCACCCGTCAGGGATGCTAGACTGGGCTTGAGCAGAAGACGTTTTAATGCCTAGAGCCACATCAGAACAGCTGTGTGCCTCTGTCAGCAGGGGCCCGGGGGCATCAGACAGTGTCCCAGAGGTCTTCAAAGAGCCCTCATCTCCTTGGCACCTAACACCAGTCACCAATCATCAAACGGGTCTTAAAGCAACAGCCTCCTGTTTCAGCCTCCCTCTCAAATCTACCAAGTCACTCTCCAGGTCACTGATGTCCACCATGTCCACCCCGCTGCCCCTGCCTCAGTTTTCAGGTTCTCTGCCGAGGAACATGCCTCTTCTCTGAATGCTCTCCCCCAGCAGGTTTGGAGAGGGCCCGGCCCAGCCCTCGTTATATGGCCTTGGAGGCAGAGACCCTCATTCTGAACAGGAGTGGGGAGGGCCTGGCCGAACCTGGGTCAGGCTTTCCTAGGAAGCTGGAATCAGGACAGTTTTCAGCTTGTTTCTGCCGAGGATCTGCCCTGATGACATGTACACCTGGGGGTGGGGAGGTGGGCACGGTAGTGGAGCAGTAGGGGAATCGTCGTCCACTAAGTGCAGGGAAAGCAGAGAGCTGCTCTGCGGGGAGAAAAGATGGAAGCAAACAAGGCAAGAACAGAGGCAGAGATGGGAATGGGGCAGGAGGGAGGGGAGAAGAAAGCCACCCCCCCCACCCACTGCCCAGAAGCCTTGGGGCTCCCAGCCCCAAGCTATCTCCAAAGCTTAACAGCTCTTCCCACCCCAGGATTCCAGGAGACCCTCCCACGTCCTCTGACCTCAAACTGCCCTTTTCTGCTTAAACCAATGTGCGAGGCATTCAGGCCTTGTGGCCAAGACCCCCGACTGAGGGCTCCATAACCCTGCCCATGCAACCTGGGCCAAGCCCTCACCCTGCAAAGCCTGGGCTGTTACCCACCCTCCTGCCTGGAACGTTCCCCTCTGTCTCCCCACCCTTTGGGGCCTGACCCAGAACCCTCCTCTTCCTCACTAGTGTGCCTCCCTGAACCTTTCTGTGCTTCTGGACACTTGGTTTTGAGTTTATTTCCTGCCTCAGTGTCTTCAGGCTGAACCAGAGGCCAGCTGAGGGCCTCTCTGTACCCAACCCTTCAAACTCCTCAGCCCCTAGGCTCTGCCTGATGAGACTCCTGGAGCAGAGGGTGGGCAGGTGCCTATGGAGGCACGACACCAGCAAAATCCCCCCAAGTAGGAAGACCCTGTCAAGCCAGTGGGCTCAGCTTTTGTCACCTTCCTGCTACTGTGTGTGGGCTAAGATGGATCACTGCACATTCTTCCACCCACTCCCTGGGCTTTGGGTGTGTCACACACTCGGGGTGTGCCGTGTGTGCACCCATAGCCAGGGCCCCTGCTGCCAACCAGCATGGGACAACCAAACGCACAGCACCCAGCTAGTAAAGAGGCCCTTTATTTCCACATTAGACAGAACTGGTCCCCGCTGCTGCCTGTCCCCCCCTGCTGGGGGAAGAGCTGTGGGAAGGACCTGGGCCCCCTGAGGCACCCATCCTCCCAGTGCCAAGGCCCTGCTGTCTGCTGGAAAAGGGCCCGGGGAAGGGGAGGAGTGCCAGGAGGAAATGCCAGGGAGTCCTGGACAGAGGCCAACAGGGGGGCCTGGCCACAGGGGGATTCCCCAGCAGGACAGACTAGAAAGGCAGCCAGGCCTCCACACCCAGCAGGGGCCTCCCTCATAGCAGGCGTGGCCACAGAGCCACAGGGCCAGTTTGGGAAGTGCCAGTCAAAGGCCATCGGGGGTCAGCGAGGTCACAAAGGGGAGGTCCCTGCAACCTGAATCCCCCTGACCCAGGCCCCCTCAGGCCCTGGAGGCCCAGCTCTTTGGACAGGCCACAGGCTGAAAGAGGCACCGGGATCCTGAGAACAAAGTATCCATGAAGCCAACGGTCCCCCTGCAGGGACAGGCCACCCTCCTCGCTGAAGCCACTCTGGATCTCTGTGGATGGTCCCCCTCAGCCTCCCAGCTACCAACCCTGCCTGGGCCCCTGCTTTTAGGAGCAGCAGTGGGCATTTTATGCCACAGGGTTTTTAACACAACTCCCCGGCATCAAGAGGGTATTTGGCACACAGCTGGGCTCCATAAACAGCTGTAAGCTGTGACGTGTGTATGTGCACAGATGGACTTGTGCACGTGTGCACCACGCACATGAGCATGTGTCCACAACGTGTATGTGTGCATGTGTGTACGTGTTATTGAGCCTGCGGTGTGCGTGTGAAAGTGTCCATGGGGGGAAGTGTACACAGCGGCTGTACAGGCAAGCCGGGAATGCACACTCACTCCTGCAGAATGGAGGGGGTATGGGCACGGACTCACATGGGGGAGGGTACGCAGCAGCAGGCTCTGGGTGCACCTGTGGGGGAGTGCGCGTGCCCTGGGCCAGGGGCACGGCAGGGGTCTGGGAAGCCCTCACTGCCAGCTGGCACAGTTCTTAGGCAGACTCTGCAGAATGGCCTCCAAGTTCTGCTTGTCGGCGCGGATCTCGGCGAGGTCACTCTCGAAGCTCTGGATCTGCAGCTCCTGCTGCTCAGACTCCTGTTCCAACAGCCTCAGTTTCCCCTGCAGGGCCCCGGGCGGGCCCAGCTGCAGCCTCAGGCGCTCCAGTGCCCGCTGGGTGTCGTTCAGGGCCTGGCCTGGGGCTTGGTGAGTGTCCAGCGACCCTTCAGAGGGGCAGAGAGCTGCAGTGTGAGCCAGTTCCCTGCAGGCCCCAGGAGTGTGCTCAACTCCCAGCCCAGACCCCCCTCTGCCCAAGCCTTCCAGGGTTCTGACTGCCTGTGATCCACCAGGAAAGTAAGCTACCAAAAGGGCAGTGCAGTGAGTTGGGTAAGGATCTGGTCTGGCTATCACACCAAGCTCATATGCAGACCCTGGAACTTTCCCCCTGGGTGGCAATGGGCAACTGTTCGTTTTTGTTGTTTGTATTACTACTGTTGCTTAAAAAACGCAGCCTTGGGTGAGTCCTGAGCCCCAGTTTCCTCATCTATAAAGCAATGGTCAGGTGAGGTCCCCATGACGCCTACTAGCTCCAAACGCTGCATCGATGGACCAAGAGCACACATCTAGAGACCGTGTCAGATGTGAGGACATGTGGGTGACAACAGGGTCTCTGGCTTCACGGTGAAGGCCGGGGAGGCAGGTGGGGCAGAGAGGGCTGCAGGCCTGGGAGCGTGCAGCGGGGGTCTAGCCCTGGCCCTGCACAGACTGACTCTATTTCGGGGGCTTAAGGACTTCCTGGAGCCTCCGGAGTGTAAAACGCAGGGTGGGGCCAGGTGCTCACATGTGAGCTAGGTGGTGGCGGTGATGGAAGCCAAGGCTACCTCCCTCACCCAGCCCTTGTCATGAAGGGTGTGACATTCAACAGGAAGACAGGGCTCAGCCAGGTGAGATGGCGAGGGTGGGGAAGTGAGCCCTAAATGGCTTCTATCCCCACACGCCGGGCCCCAGGGCTCCCCATGGCCCAGAAGGAAGCCTGGGTTGGAGGGCAGGCAGCTGCAGGAGCTGAGCCAGAAGCAAGAAGAGGCAGAGGGGGGCTGAGCTGGTGCCTGGGCAGGTTCTGTTCCCAGCCAAGACCTGGAGAGGCCCCACTGTCCACAGGGAAGACCAAACAGCCTGGCCTTGGAGAAGGTTCAGAATCT